AATATATTTGTAACCAATCGATACGCTTTCAACAAGATGTAATGAAAGATGATGGGGGGGGGGGGGTTGTTTAACTAAAACAATAAAAAAAATTCTCAAAAAAAGCACAATGACTATATATGCATACTTTTCTGTCATATCACTTTTTTTACTAAAAAAGAGAAAAAATAAATATGCATATTGAAAAAGAATTATAAATACCATCAACCTAAAAGGGAGCTTGCTCAGAAGCTGAAATACACCGTAAATGAGATGAAGAGTGGGAAGTAGAAGAGAAAGGGAAGGGAAGAAGAGAGGGATAGGAGAGAGGGAAAGTGGGGGAAGAGGAGGAGAGAAATGAGAAGTGGTAAGAGGAAAGAGGAGAAGGAGAGAGGAAGGGGAAGTTGAGAAGAGAAGGACAGAGAGAAAAAAGGAGGTAGAGAGGGGGAGGAGAGAGGGAGAAGAAAGTGATGGATAAAGCACAAATATGGTGTATGGAGCACAGAAGAGCCAATAAATGGTTTTGAGGAGTTGTTGGTAAGATGAACTGATGTAAACATTTAACAATACAATATGATGTTGGTTATGTAATAGTATACATATGATTATATGTTATGAAAATGGAAAAATAAAAAACTTTAATTTGAAAAGATTCTGATTGCAGCCCTACCTCCCTAAGGAAATTAATTCAGAGTACTTTCACAACCAGAGAAAAGGCCTTTCCTAGTCTAGGTAATTCCCGGATACAAAATGAACATTTGCATTCCTATATATTGATTCCTTCCAAATTTAAAAACAAGGGATTCATTTTCTGAACTAGATGATCTTGTGATGATATGGTATCATTATATTGCCTTAAGCAATGATAAATGCCAAGTAGTGGATACTGTTTGCTTTTTTAAGGGTTGAAATGGGAGCATAATGCCTTTGGGAAGCAAACTATTCTTATTTCACCCTTATTTTCCCTCCAATTGTTCTAAAACTGAGCCAATGTTAAATCTGTCATTTTGAAACGATCTATATGAACGGGAGGTATTAAGGACAGAAATTGAGAATGTCTGCCTCCCAAAGGCCTTATATTCCCATTTGTATATTTGGGAGGATTCAAGGGGTAATGGAGAGAAATTATACTGCTGGAAATGTTATTGCTAAATATTAATAAGCCTTACTGGATGCTGAATTCTGCAAATGATTGGTTTCTGGCAGTCCTGCAAACACATAATTTCACACCACAATTGTAAGAAACCTATGGACAGAGTATTTATACTACTTTGAAATAACAATAATCTCAAGCTTCCTTTAAATGTAGCACACATTATTCACATCTCAACTACTATACTATTACTAATCTGTTTTCACTGAAAGGAAAAGGAGATACTTACCTCTCGCTGAAGTTTTCTCTTTTCTGCTTTCAGTTCATCTTCTACTTTTTCTGCATTTTCTGCAGCAGTTTTATATCTCACCACCTGTCCTTCAAGTCTTAAAACCTAAAAGATCAATGATTTGTTTATCTTCCTACATGCAAGGAAGATTCAATGTAACTTTGACCTTTCCTTAAAAGCACTAAATGGAAAACATTTATTTTTCACTATTCTTCCCAAGGAACCAATACAAATACCAATGAAGTCAACAATACGTAGTCAAGTGATACCCAGAAACTCAACAAAATACTAATTAATTCAAATGAAATGCAAACATGACATTGATTTTATCACTGATTATAAGTAAAGATTTTCTCAGTGTAAATGTTGATATGCACTGTTTCTAGATTTGACACAGTCCTCTTTCATTTCTTTTAACTTGAGATGCTCAAATATCTTTCCTGACCATCAGCTTATATATAGATTTACACTATTTGCTTGAAGAGTGGTCCTCTTAAGAAAATATCAAAACTTGTACATCATTGGCCTGATAATATAGTGATAGGATTCCCATACTAGTGATGCAAGAGAGCCATATTTTGGGATGATGTGGAGAAAAAAATAAAGGGGTGGGGTATAGAGCCCTTAAGTTTGGAATATATCAACATTTTAAAAGATACCTACATTTTGTTCCAAAGTAGTTATATCTTGTTCAGCTTTTGAAAGTTTAAATTTGAAATCACTTATTTGTCTGTTGGCATCTCCTAAAGACAAGAAAATTTAAAATTTAAGGACTGTGAATCAAACTTCAAAACTTACCAATCAAACCTTTACTTATTGCAAATGTTTGTTATGGAGAAAAACAGAGCACTAAATATGGCAATTAGGTAACTCTGGAGACTGATATTTTTCAATATTTATTCCTGAAAGTTAATGAGGTAAATACTTAAGATCTTAGGAGCTTAGTCAACACTTTTATTGGAATATAAAAAACAGAATGATTTGTGTAACAGTATTTTAATCTTAAATACAATGAAAATGTGGTTATTTAAAGATAGCTGACTGATAGATCAAAAGATTATACAAATTAATGGTCAAGATATTTCTTATAGTGTCAGGAGAGAATGTAACAGCTCAAACAAGAAACAGGTTTTATTTCTGAAGTTTCCATTCTCTTTGGTTATGACAAGAACTCTATACATTTCACAACTGGTACCAGACTTTGCTTGTTTTCCTTAATTTTCCCTCATTTTATTTTAAATTGTACCGTATACATCCAAAACTATATAGAAATACCTTCATTAAATCTGTTTTATCATCTGGTATAAAATTGCAAAATTTGTATAGAAATTAAGACATGACTATTTAAAAGTGCAACTTCTATGAATACTGAATGAATTAACATACTCTGCATTTCAATTAATTGCAAATCAGAACCATTTTCCAGTCCTGTTAAATCAGAATTTGTGCTGTCATTCCTAGAGGATTTCTGCTGTGCTTCTTCCAATTGCAATTTCAATTTTTTAATCTGAAATTAAAATACAATATTTTCAATATTTCACTTCAAACTTTATTTATTCTTTATCTAAAATGAATGGATATCATATTTAACAAATAATTAGCATCTACTGCTATAATTAGGAATCCAGTGCGATTGTTTTCAGCTTTAAATAAAGTTACAGGATTTGTCTGAACAAGATCTGCTATTCCAATAAATTGGCAATTTAGCTGTGGATATCTACATTCCTTAAAATGCTAAGATTATAGGAAAAATAGTTGTGAATATTTGCACCGAATAAATTGCTATGTTATATGAATGGTTTTAACTGAGACAAAAATGCTATTGTTAGAATAGTCTGGTTTTATTTATGTTTTCTTCTCTGCAGATGTAATCAATGTGGCATAAAGATGGATTGGTACTAGGGAGACCTAAGTTCACATTCACTTTGGGCCATAGAAACTTATGAAATGATTTTGAGCCATCACTAAATCTCAGCTCAACTTACTTCTCAAGGTTGGGGAGGAGGAGGAAAGAAACACTTTGCAGTTTTGGATTCAGGATTGAAAGGTGGAATATCAATCTTGCAAATACACAAATAAATAGAGTTTGCCATATACACATATTAAGTATTTAATACATAAAGCAGAAATTCACTATCTATTGCTCCTAAAAGGTTTTGCCATGGCCCTTTATACCCTTCAAAATTGCTAATAAAATGTAATTTTTAGTAAGTAACAGAAAAATAATTAAACTATTAAGAAATTGACATCTATATATCTTTATACTGAGTTAAATTTAAGTGTATATGACCGTGATGGCAAACCTATGGCACGTGTGCAACAGGTGGCACGCGGAGCCATTTGTCAGGGCACACGATTCATTGCGATCCATTGTCAGGCTCCAGAGGCTTTATAGGAGCCTGGGGAGAGTGAAAACAGCCTCCCCCCACCCGAGGCCCTCCGGAGGTTTCAGGAGCTTCCCTGAAGCTTCCAGAGTGCAAAAAAATGGCTGTATGGGCAAACCGAAAGTCCGGAAACTGACTTCCGGTTTGCTTGTAGGGTCAGTTTAAGCCCTCCGGAGGCTTCAGGGACCTTCAGGAGACTTCCCTGAAGGCTCCGGAGGGCTAAAATCGACCCTACGAGCAAACCAGAAATCATTTCCGATTTGCTCGTAGAGTCGTTTTTAGTCTCCAGAGCCTTCAGGGAAGCCTCCTGAAGGTCCCTGAAGCCTCTGGAGGGCCTCCAGGGGGGACAGGGGAGGCTGTTTTCACCCTCCCCAGGCTCCTATAAAGCCTCAGAAGCCTGGGGAGGGCAATGGATCACGTGCCCTGACAAATGGCTCCATGTGCCATCTGTGGCACGCGTGCCATAGGTTCGCCATCCCGGTCATATATACACATATGTACAATTAAGATGGAGATTGTGTTTTATAAATAAGATCAGATTGCTGTACATTCTTTAAATACAGCAACAGGATCTTTCATCTGTAAGATAGTTTTCCATCTCCAGTTTAACTTTTTACGACAAGTTTCCAGTTATAACCTTAGAATTCAACATATATAAAGCCCCTCATGGATTATTCTCCGTCAATAAACACAGAAGAGAATACAGAAAAGAAACCATGAATCCTATGGTTCTTGGATTATTGCAGAAGCTACAGAATTATATCCTAACAAACAAAGCTAACTGTGGAAGTCATGAAGCAACTGTAGTTTCTTTTATTTAATTAAAACCTCATTATGGAAGTTGTTTATTTTTTCACTTTAGAAATCTTCAGGAGACTTACCTGTGACAATAACTCTTCCTTTTCTCCTGCTAGCTTTCGTAGCCTAACATCTGGAACAAACAAAGAGTTTAATTTTTCAAATTTTAAGGCTTTTGAAGACTACTTTTATATGGTTGGAATTCCATCTGAAAACTCACAATAAGACAGGTGGACCTTTTTAAAATAAAGCTAGCACACAAAATTTACAAAATAGTGGATTAAGACTGTTATCTTTAACTTGCAAATACAAATAAAATTTGAGGAGGGTAATTTGGGCATAACTGAAATACAGTAAGATCACTTTAATAATTGTAATTTAAGGCATAGGGCCAATTAAGCAGTTAGATTCATTAATCCTTATAATTAATGAATATAGTAATCCGCACTTACCAACTGCCTTGTTCAGGCACTATTCCTAGTTACAACAGTGCCGAAATAACTTTACGACCAATGCCTGCATTTATAACTTTTGCAATATCTGTCAGTTATGTGATCACAATTATAATTAGTATACATTGTATCTATTGCCCCTTGCACAGTGGAGAGGTTGGAGACAATAGATTATAAAAGTAAGCAGGCACACAATGGGGAATATAGTCAAAAGAATATGTTTATTTAAATAGGTGTGGGGACAATACACAAACAGTCAGATGTACACCCTATTGTGTGCCTGCTTACTTTTTGTCATCTGTCCCTTTCCTATGAATATAAATATTACGGCAATTCCCTTCTGGTTAATTATTCCAGTGCCAAAGTGAAAATTCCAAAGAGGGGTGAGGTTAGGAGACAAACTAAAGGCTAAGATGTGAAACTGATTAGTATTGTCAGTTTCTAGCCAGCTCTTTCAATGCCGCATACTTGGAATACTTTCTATAGGAAGTATTCTTATTACAAAGCTATTTAAATTTAAATATTTAAAAATAGAAATGTACTGTATGTCTATAGAAATTTTCTAAGCCTGAAAAAAATTATGGAGTGCTGGAACTACTTACATAGAACTGAAGGGCTGATCTCTCTAAAAGTACAATTCTTTTGGTGTAATTTTTAAATGTATATGCATTGAAGCCCCAATATAGTTTTAATCGTTTAAGAAAATGCTTATTTACCTAGTGGTCCTTCCCCCGCTGAGTCCAAAACTTGAGCAGCTTCTTGTGATACAACTGTAATTGCACCAATTACTGGTTCATGATTAATATCACAATTTGGGATTATTACTAATCCATGTTTCTGGAGGGGGGGAAGTAACATTAACAATATCTATCAGAAAATTTTATTTTACAGATAAACTCTTTACTTAGCTGACATAATCAAAAGTTACAACACTATTGCTTCTATACATGAATTAGTACAAATGATGCTATACTTTCCATTACACTACCTATCTTCTGATTCCCCAATCTACATTTGTAAAAAGTACTACTGCTAACATACCTCTCCTCTCTTCATTGTTTCCTTCAGGTTAGCCAGCTCATCTCTGAGCTCATCTCGCTCAATTCTAATGCAGTCAAAATATTCTTTTTGTCTCTCTAGAGCCTGGTTACAGCCAAGTAGCACAAAGGAAATAGTATAGAAAAAGAATGTGTGATAGATAAAAGAGATTTCTTGTAAATCCAAGAAGAGTACTAAACAAAAAGTAGAAAAAAGCTTTACATAATCTTCTGTTTGACACAAAAGTCATATTTAGCACTAGAATTTATCAGTTATAATGGATCTGTCAAATATGTCTTGGTCATTATATTTCATATACACTTTAAATATAATTCCAGTGTAATATTTCTTCCACAATGACTAAGCCTTTCATTCTCACAAATAAATCCCAAACCTAACATGGAATTGATAAAATATAAAATATATCACATAAATTATGATTGAATTGAATTGAATTTTGGTCATATGCAGTTCAGACATACTAAACTTAATGCAACTAAATTAAAACCATGAATTTTAGTAATTCTATTTTGCAATTAAAACTGTACCAAAGAACATTAAAATATTCATCCAAAACCTAGAACCATACAGAGCAAGAAAATACAATCCTCTGTGATGCATTAAGATTTTCAGATATAAACCTTTGGATTTGATAGCAGACCTACACAATTATATGTATGGTATTATGATTTATAATTTAAATGAAACAATGTTGTCAACCAGAGTTTTTAGTGAAAGAACATTAAAAGAAAGAGGAAACCATATGGTTTCCAATTTCTGTCCAGGGCCCTGATTCTGATTTGTATGCTAGATTTTATAGAATACCTGCTTCTCAGAAGCCAATCAGTTAGCAAATTGGTAAGCTTTTAAATAGTTTCCCCAGCAGTCCACCAATCAGTAAATTCCCAATAACTATGGAGTGAAGAGAGAACTGCACCTATAGGTAATCCATGTCACTAAACAGGTGGTTCATATCCCCCATTCTCAAATCTATATTTAATTTTATATTATAATTTTTAATCATAAACAACTAGCATCCAAATACAAAACTTAACTGCAACACTGGAAGTACTGAAAAACTATTCTGTTTTATCATAAATGTATTCATGCACATCCTCTTGAATGGCACTTATTTATTCTCTAGTATCCAGCATTAATTTATTTTATCTAATTTATTGCTGTATTTGTAATTACTATATTCAGATCCTCTGCATACTGAAACCATTAACAATCTTGTCAACCTTTGCCAGTCTATTCCTAATCATTTTTCACCTCAGAATAATCTCATACCCCAATTTTTTTATCTTTCCAATTAACTGTCTCCTGGAGGTCAAACACCTCTTTGGATATAGATTCTATTTTCTGCTGCATGCGCTGGTTCTCCTGCAGTAAACACAGGGAAAAGAATAAAAGAAGAGGAAAAAGAAGTAAAAGGAATTACAAAAAGATAGAAAGAAGTGAGTAAATAAGCCAAAGTAACGTGAAAGACTGAGGTTTTATGAACAAAGATTTGAAGAGTTATAAACAAATTTAGGATTGATGTTCAAATAACCTACAACTGTCTAGCATTATAGACAGTCCTTGATTCATGACTATTCATTCAGCAACCATTCAAAATAAAAATAGCACTGAAAAAAGAGATTTAGGACTCATACCCAAATTTATGGCCGCTGTAGCACCTTGTGCTTCACTTGGCAATTCACCCACCCTTATGACCAATCACAAGGATGCCACAGAGCCCTCTCCACCATTTCCCCTATCCTGCCTTGCTGGGCCTCAAAGGGCTTGGATCTGCTTCCCACTCCACTAGGTTGTACAGTCTTCCCCACCCCACATCGTGGCTTGACCACTTACCTTTTAGGATAGATTTCCTCTAGGAAGCAGCTATTCTGCCACATCGCCATTCTGCACAGTTGTGGCTGCATTCACTGTTCCAGAAGTGGGCATAATTTTAGGAGTGGCCACAATCGCAATGATGCAGGAAGGGGAGCATGGGAAGGGAGTGGAGAAGTCCTGGGAGACCTAACAGAGGCAACATCTGAACTGAAGGTTTTGCAATGCAAACCTGGGCGTGCACCAGGTCTCCTATGGCTTCCTCCACCTCTGTGGCACCTCAGGCTCTGCTAATAACTATAATAGGGAGAGTAGTGATTGGGATCATTAAGTGAGGTAATCACATGGGTACCTCATATTTCTGCATATAATTGGCAAGTTCCATTATGATTGTAAGTTGAGGACTACCACAAATCAATGTATAAACATATAATTTGACCAAAACTTTAATAATATTCAAACATTTAAAGTATTGGTACAATATCACTATTACATTACAGGTGAAATGCGAAAAATTAGAATATCATGCAAAAGTTCATTTATTTCAGAACTGCAACTTAAAAGGTGGAACTACCATGTTTCCTCGAAAATACGACATGTCCTCATAATATAGCCATGCCACATTTTTCTGGTGAGCAAAAATATATGCGCCCCCCCCCCTGCATATAAGCTCCTACCTCCAGCCAGGCAGAGCACCTCTCACCAACCTAGCAGTATTCCAAAGGTGCCAAGCCACGGGAACCTGGGGGGAGGCAAAGGTGATCGCGTAGCTTGGTGGCTTTGGGATACCGCTAGGTTGCTGAGCAGCGCTGTGCCCAGCTGAAGAGCGGTGTTGCCAGGCGGCTTCTCTCTTGTGAGCGGGCTCCCAAAGAGCCAGGCGCAGCCTCATCAGTGAATGGCTGCGCAACACAACAGCCATTAAGTGACCACGCTCATGAGCAGTCACACAGCAAATCCACTTTGCAGCCTGGCACAGCGCCATTCACTGACCTAGGGGTATCGCCAAGCCACATGAGCACCTGTTCGCCGCCACCCGGCTCCCGCGGCTTGGCGCCTTCCAAATGCCAGTTAATGGTGCTCTGCACGGATGGAGAGGAGGGTTGCGCGAGCAGCTGTTCCGCTCTCGCTCACCCACCTCCCAGCCTCATGATGCATGGCCCAGCTCTCATTACAGAGCCAGGGCACCTCCACTGCCACCACCATCCCAGCCTGGTTTTTTCCGCAGCTTCCAACCCGAGTCTTTCAGCAGTGGCCGCTCTGGGCGCATGCTCTATGCCATTGCCGAAAGACTAGGGTTGGAAGCCATGGAAAAAGCCAGGCTGGGATGGCGGCAGCGTTGGCAGTGTCCTGGCTCCATAATGAGAGCTGGGCCATGCATCGTGAGGCTGGGAGGTGGGTGAGCGAGAGCGGAACAGCCGCTCACGCAACCTCCCTCTCCAGCCATGCAGAGTGCCATTCACTGGCATTTGGAGGGCGCCAAGCCATGGGAGCTGGGCAGCAGCGAACAGGCGCTCATGCGGCTTGGCGATTCCCCTAGGTCAGTGAATAGCACTGTGCCCGTTTGTCAGGGCACGCGAGGCGCGAAGCCTCCTGAAGCTTCCAAAGTGCTCAAAACGACCCTCTGAGCAAACCGTAAGTGACTTCCTGTTTGCTCGGAGGGTCATTTTGACTGCTCTGGAGGCTTCAGGGAAGCCTCCTGAAGGTCTCTGAAGCTTTCAGGGGGGGGGGGGGCAGGCTATTTTCGCCCTCCCCAGGCTTCTATAAAGCCTCTGAAGGCTGGGGAAGGTGGAAAAAGTATGCAAAAAATGGAGCGGAGTGCCTGTACTGCGTGCATTCTCACTGGGGGGGGGGTGTTCACGCATTGCATGTGTGCGGCACGCGCACACATGACACCCCCCCTGCGCTCCCCCCACTTATGGCACACGAGCCAAAAAAGGTTCGCCATCGCTGGTCTATACCCTCTCAAGTCCAGATAGGAGATTCCACAGAATGTGACAGAGAATAGCAGGGCTAAAATTGGAATTTCTGGCTTCAACATACAAGCATGTACTGGCCAATCAATCAGACATCATGACAGTAGACAAGGACTAAAAGACAGTGGTGATGATAGATGTAGTGAGTAAGTGACAGCAACACCAGGAAAGAGGAGCATGAGAAACTGGAGAAATATCAGAATCTGAATGAGAAATTAGAGAGCATGTGGAAAGGCTAAAGAGATCCCATAGACTCAGGGCTATGACTCATTAGCTGGGAGAGTGGCTCTAATAGAACCCAGAAATTGTGAACCCTGTCTGAGGGGCGTATAATTTCACCCCCCAGCCTGAGAGATGGAATACCTGGCCAATTTGTGGGAGGGAAAAACACAAGCCACTCGGTCTTGTCAGGATTGAATTGTGCCTTTGTGTTAATGTGCTATATGAACCTAGGGATTTTAGTCCTAGGATGTTGTGGCCTTTTCAACCAATCATGTGTAAGAACAATGTGTGAACCAAATGAATGTGTTATGTTCAAACTT